AGCATACTCAACACCGCGCCTCCAAACCCAAAGTTCGCATCGATTTGAAACGGAACCCTATCCCCATCATACATACTCAACCCATTACCCGCAAAGTTCTGCTCAATCGCATATCTGAGTTCGTAATACGCCTCGTCCGTTTCGTTGAGGCGAGCCCAGCAAGCGGCGCGCCATACCTTCGCCCATCCAGCATTTGCTTGGTTGAGGGCCTCACCGTTACCGTTGCCACGGCTGTACAGTTTCTGGCGAACGGCGTCTTGGACTGCGGTGTCGGTGTAGCCGTCGAGGAAGGAGGAGATTGAGTAGCCGGGGTACCAGCCGACTAGTTCGGAAAGATGGCGGTGGGTGTCGTTAATGAATTCTAGGCCGTAGGGTGCCTCGGGTAACTTCCATTCTTTGATCTGGCCCCAGGAACCGATTGCGAAGCCTTTGTCGAGCCGTTGGAGCGAATTGGTGATGTTGGTGATGAATGCGCTGTCGCTCTCATTGACGGTGGGGGCAGTGGAAAGGACGGCATCGAAGACCTGATGAATGAGCTGCTGGTAGTGCGCGCATCCGAATGTTGTCGGGCCATGCTCAGGGCTGTTGCATGGGTTCACAACCAACGAGCCGTCGTTGTTGAACCGATCTTCTTGCAGCTGGCTGAGCCAGAATTCGGCAACACCCTTCATCAGCGGGTAGCCCTGATCACGCAACCAAGCTTCGTCGCGCGAGTAGTCCCAATGGTCGAAGACATGCTGCATCATCCAAGCTGCAGAAAGCGGATAATTCGCCCACTCAGCTCCACTCTTCATTCCCGTGTGGCCGAAGATGTTCATCTCGTTGTGAACCACCCAACCAGGTGCGCCATATAGCAGCTCGGCGGTCTCGCTGCCGCGTGGAACCCAGTTGTCAGACATGTAGTCCCATAGTGGTGATTGAAGGTCCGTCAGACCAGTCTGATCGGCGGTCCAGTGGTTCATCTGGATGTTGATGTTGGAATGATAGTCTGCCGACCAAGCGGGTTCAAGGCTTTCGGCCCATCGTCCTTGAAGGTTCGGGGGAAGAGAGCCTGGTCGCGAGCTGGCGATGAAGAGATATCGTGAATAGTCGAAGAGCAGGCTCTCGAGGTATGGGTCGCCGGCTGTGATGTTGGCGTTGTAACGTGTGACGAGCTCGGATGTGGGTACTTGAGATGAGTTGAAAGGATCGGGAAGAGATAGCGTGAAGCGGTCAGTGAGAGAAGTGAAGTCCTCCATGTGACGCCCTTGTAGATCCGACAAAGGTCTGGCGGCGGCGGCGAGAGTCGTGGACTCAACGAACAGGCCTGGATCTTCGCCACGGAAGGAGTAATCGTACTCCGCTGTTCCCTTCTTTGCGTCGTAGTTCGTTTCAGCGCCGACTACTATCGTGATACTGTTCGTACCGTTGCGCGAGGAGACCATCAAAGACTTGGCTTCACCATCACATACAACTTCGATGCCGGTGTTGTATGCAACTCGTGCCATCGCGTCGTATCGCATACCTTCAGGTGGGCCAAGCTGCGTCAGAGCGCTCATTCTCAGATGCGATGAACCCGTCGCATCACGACCGACGCATGTAATGTTGCGCAACTCCGGCTCAATGAGTGTATTGTCCAGTGTCACTTCCAGCGCTGGCAACTGACTTGACGAGCGAACCGAATAGACGCAGACTTGATCTGGGAACGAGCAGAACGTTTCGGTCTCGACAAGGCTACCGTTCACGCTGAATGCCGTGGTGTGGACGCCATTGCTCAGGTCCAATGTCCGCATATAGTCGGTAATATCGGAACCTGCTATCAACGGCATTGACACACTTAAGTTTCCTAGCACTTGGTACGAGCCATACGAAGCGTCTAAGCCCAGCAGTTCCGTCACGTTTCCAGTTCCATTGGTGAAGATCCAGTCCCGGATACCAGGTAATGCTGCTGCTTTGGAAGAGGTCGGATTACCGCCTGTGTAGTTCTATATGATGTGTTAGTATGGATATCAGGTCGAGTGACAAGATTGAGTTAGACAGGCTCACAGATGCATTGAAAGGACCTCCGGACCACAATGTATCCAAGTTCAGGGTGAGTGTCTCATCACCGGGTGGACCAATTGGCATGGCACCAAGACGTCCATTTCCGAGAGGATATGTTGTACGGATGATGTCGCTACCATTTGCGGGAACCGTGGACCATATTAATTTCGCATTTGAGGAGTCAATCAAACCATAGATCGCCGGAAGCCATTGAAACCGTGATAATCGCATTCTTTATTCTGTTGACAAGCTGGTCGTGAATTGATTTGATCATGATTGCAATGTGCGCTCCGCCGTGGTTTTGTTGTATGTTGGCGATCCATGTGACGTTGTGCAGCGGGCTTGAATCTTTTCCGGGGTTAGTTGCGGGGAAGAGGAGTATGCGCATGGCGATCGCTATAAAGATCCTCCGTCAACGACTTTCTTGGAGTTGTTCTTCCGGTGGGATATTTGGGACATCCAGAACTAGCAACTCTCGCGCGAAAGAGGCCGAGCATTGAACTATACATCATGCATCGCTGATAGGTCAATTACGTCGGGTCCAGATTCCGCATCAGCTACGACCGAGGAACATGGACAACACTGTAGAGGAATCGATACGTCGTCATCATCTTCTGCATCGTTCGTATGTCTACGCCTCAGGTTGGTCGAAGCATGCAAGGTCAGTATACCCAGCTGGGAGATGAGCAGCCTCGTGGAAAGGCGCTTCAGATGGACTCGAAGCTGGACAAATGGCGCGTCGCTGTCGACGCTCAGCAGTATGACGCAATTCGCGCGCTTAGTCAATAAGACTCTCTTGGGATGAGATGCGACAATAAAGCGCGTCGTTGTTGCGATGGACTGCCTTGGTGGTTACTGCGAACTGGCGGCAGCGGGTAATGATGTCTTCGTCAGGGCAGGCAGCCAATCGGCGTTTGGATTGGCCGGCACCGCGCTAACATTCGCGGACCCTCATGTCACGATATGGCAGCAGCCCGCCAACCCCAATTGCGAGTCGACAGCCCAAGATGAGGACGCCGTACACCTGCCGACAGTGCCTCTCGGCCCTGAAGACGCCGCGCTCCCATTTACGGCCGTCGCAAAGCCTCCGCCCGCTCGCGCCCCAGGTCTCGTCGCAACGCAGTCACTCGACCAAAAGTGCAGCACCGCCAAAGCTTGCCCTGCCCAAGCGCAGCCTCTCGACAACGCCGGCCCGGGCTTTCGAGAAGCCGTTCGAGCCGTATGAATACATCGATCCCGAGGGCCATCGGCGGAAGCTGGTCCTGACCGAGGACAACCTCTTCAATTCCTTCTCCGGCTCGCCAATACCTGAAATACGGAAGCGTGCTGCTTTCATGCGCCAGCATGCTTACTGTCCACACCCCTCACATCAGCCGACGCGTCCGGCGAACAACCCCATGGACCTTGAGGCGCGTAAGTCCTCGGAGACCGGCGCCCCGCCCGCCCATGTCGACTTCGAGTGCCCAGACTGTGGCATACCGGTGTACTGCTGCGAGGAGCATTGGGCGGATGATTACGAGGCACATTTGGAGGTCTGCGACGTTCTGAAGCAGATTAACGAGGACGATCACGATCTGCGAAGTGGGCGCTTCTTCAAGGAGTTCCAGTTCGCGGAGCCCCAGATGGAAGAGATTCTGGTCAACATGACGAGCTGGGACACGTACATGTACACGCGAGACTTCGATGCGCTGAACGAGGACCGGGAGATGCGCCAGGCGACAAAGCTGTTGACATACCCAATCACCATCGCTAGTGTATTGAACGAGCTGAGCCCCTACAACATCCGGAAGAACGGGCGAATGACGCCGGAGGGACTGAAGAGCTTCAGCGGTACGTTCCCATCACTCGCATAGCATTGATGATACTGACACGCCCCCAGCCCTTCGCCACACCCTCCACCCACCCCGCACCGGCGGCGGCGACACCTGGAAGAACGCGCGCCTCGCTCCCCCCTCGGTCCGCCTCTTCATCCTCGGCGCCCGCGCAGAATCCTCGCTACCCCGCGAAACCTGGATGCAACTCTCCTACCTCTTCCACCGCGTACAATTCTCCCTCAACTTCATCGGGCCGGAGAGCATGGCGAACCGCGAGAAGGAGCTGCCCCTTCCCGAGCGCACGCCTCTAAACCCGTTCGGCGCCGTCGTCGAAGACCGCATCAGCAACTCTCTCAAGATCAGTACCTTCGTCGAGTACTACCACAACATCCACAAGACGGGGTACTTTTACCCCTACGACCCCTACTTCGATTGCTTCGTCGTTTTCCACCCTGGGTTCGGCAATCCGGCCTCCGCGCACGAGTGGGAGGAGACGCTACCCCTCCTCCTCGAGACCAAGGTTCCTATCATTGCGACCGGATACAGCCCGTGGGACATGCAGCAGGATGTCGACTTCCTCAAGAACAGGTTTGGGAATGAGATGGACATGTTGCTCGAGCCCGGCGAGAACTTGTTCAGGAGTCTGAGATGGGACCTCAATGATCTGGACCCGCATGATGTTACGTGCAGTAACTGGGGCGTGTACTCTTTCCGTGGTAAGAGGTATGAGACTACGAAGAAGGAGGATGATGAAGAGGTGCACAGTGATCGTACGGCATAAAAGTGTGCTTGGGATGGTATGTAGATATATGTACAGTATTGTGTATCGCGCTCCAGCCGGACCTTGTGGATGGATACGTGCTGCTAATCCATACTGGCATATTGCATCCATGCTAAGGCAGTATCGTTCGCCTTTGATTCGACGTATCGCGCGGCGCAATCATGCAAGGTTTATTTGGAGGACTGCACGCCATCCAAGGGTACAACAAGTGTATGACGTACCCCGCGCGCGGCACAGAATGTGTGTCGGGTCAGCGTCGCACAAAACATCCCACTTTTACCGCAATCTCACCACATTTTGAGCTTGCGATTTAACATAGTCACTTACTCTGGGTCTCAACTGTAATGCGAACCGATCATTAACACCATACCAGATTGCTCACCATGCCACGAAGAGTTGAAACCAAAGTCGTCGACACCGCAGAATCTGTCGCCAGCCTAGTAGACTGGCTAGTGAGAATTCACAATGATCGGGAGGATGATGACTTCTCTAGCCTTCTCTACCAGCCAGCCATTTACATCGATCTCGAAGGCGTGAACTTGTGTCGCCACGGTTCAATTTCCATCTTCACCTTGATGGTCGATATTGGTATGCCGGTGCAGCGTGTCTATCTTATCGACATCCACGTCCTGGCCGCTAAGGCGTTCACAACCCCAGGGACTGAATCGAGAACTACGCTCAAGGACATCCTAGAGGACAAAGACATATTCAAGGTCTTCTTTGATGTTCGCAACGACTCCGACGCATTATTCGCGCACTACGGCATCGCCCTGCAGGGTATAGATGACATACAGCTCATGGAGAGCGCAACGAGGGAAACTACAGCATCGAGAAAATACCTGAGTGGGTTGTCCAAGTGTGTTGAAAAGAATATGATCATGTGGTTTGGCCCGGGGCAGGATCTCAAAGAATGGAAGGAAGCGAAGGAACAGGGCGAACGGCTTTTCAATCCTCAACAAGGCGGGACCTACGAAGTCTTCAACGAACGCCCGATCCCAGACGCTATCATGACATATTGCGCTGGTGATGTCCGATGTCTGCGAGAGGTGCATTACAACATAAATAGAGGTCGCGCATACGTGTGGCGCGACCTTTACCGCGACGCGACAAAAGCGCGGGTCGCGTCCACACATGCACCAGACTATCAGCCTCACGGCCAGCACAAAGCATTGGCGCCATGGACGGATGAGCAAAACAAAGTGCTGGACAGTATGAACTACAAGCCGCCGGCTCGTGACTACTTCGATGACTTTGACGATTACGATCCTGATGAAGAAGATGACTGGGATATCAGGGATTATAACGACTACGAGGACTGGACGAGAGCACCGTGGCAGGGTCCGCCTTCTTGAAATACTGCGGTGTTAGGCAGCGCATTACATCGAGTTTTAGTTGCCGTCGTTGTCAATGAAAAGAAGCCTAAATTATCCTTTGCAGCTGGTCAACTACGGGTCATAAGGCTGGTTTTCGTGGAACAAGTAGCGCATTGTTTGTTGGCCCCGGCAAGGCCGAGAGGTATCGGCACTCGCGGTAATGTACATGTCGTGGGTTGGGTTTGCTGTAATGCAACATCGCGAATTGATTGTGCATGCAATTCACACGCGTAGACTATCTAGTTGGAGTGTGGCAGTACGCGAGTGGTTCACCCCGCTTCTATACTGAAGGACCAGAGGGTAGCTACCAAACTTCGACATCGCGGTTGCGACTTGATCCACGTTCAGTTTGGTTATGCTACTGCTGCTGTCTACACCTACAAAAGCGGAAGTCCATCGCTTCTTCTGCTTCTTTCCTGATACAGTCTTACTATACAAGGTCCTAATTGTCCTATCAAAGCCTACCGGACTCGAATATCGCGATGTCGACCGCAAGCTTCTCATCGTTAATACCCAAGCCAAATTACCACACAGATGAACCACAACCGCCCAATCCCCAAAATGTACGCGTCTCCGCCACCGCACCTTCCTCCGACTCCAACACTAACGTCCCAGTCGCGACCCCAAATCTCGCGCCTAACTCACGCCGTTAGCAAGTCATTATTCGCGACCTACAACTGTCTTTCCAAAAAATTCTCCCGCAGCGAAACTAAGCAAACACTCAAGCGCTTTCGAGACCAAATGCACAGACCGTGGAGGAGACAAAAGGACGCACTACCGCTCTGCCCGGACTGCGGCGCTATGACGTTTGCCGAGTGGGAGAAAAGGAGCTGCTTGAGTTCGTTTGATATACGCAGACATCGAGATAAGACATTGCCGGAAACAGCAGGATAGTGAAGATACAACAGGGTCTGGTGGAAGAGGACCGCGCGATGATAGCATCAACGTTAGCAACTTCGGCGACCTGCCCGACGCTCTTCAATCCGCAGGGCGGTGCGCGCGCGAAGACGTCAGCCAACGCGCTGTAATAAAACGACATCTCGATGGGAAAGAAAGGCCAGAAAAACGAAGCCGTCTCCGCCACATTGTATGTCAGCATTGGAAAGATCGCGTCAACTACACACGCCGCTCGGCTAGCCGTTTTGACGCCGGAGATAAAGCCATTCACGGTCGCTAGGAGGCACGCATGGAGCGAAGACAAGAGTTCGAACGCGAGGAGCGGCGAACGAAGATGGGAATGAAGAAGAAAGAGTGTTGAAAGTGTTGGGGAAACAGAGACTATCCCACGCGCTCGCCAGCTAGGTCATCGGTCCGACCCCACATTGCTCGCTTCTCCGCACGTCCCTCGCAGTCCCCGCGCATGCGTACGACAGCATCCGAAGGCTGCACTGGAAGATCGGAATCAATTCCAGTGATTCCTTGGCAACATTGGGATAGTCTCGGGCTCCCTAGAGCGTTGAGATGTCGATTCGACTATCTGGACTGTCTGCCTTTGTAGCATATAAATAGTTGAATTGACGGAGCTCTTACAGTTACATCACGCCCAAGTGCAGCACATAACTTCAGTCTAGCAGAATGCTTTATCTTGTTTCCATCTTTCTCTTCTTCGCGTCCATCGGCTTGATCGCTGACTACATCCACATACTATGGCGTCGCCGTTACCTTCCCCCGGGCCCATTTCCATTCCCCATCGTTGGCAATCACTTCCAAACGCCATCGTACAAGCCATGGATCACATGGGAGAAATGGGCCCAGCACTACGGTTCACCCATGATGACGCTCTGGATCGGACGGCAACCCCGCATCATATTGAGCGATGCATGGGTCGCGAGCGACTTGCTCGAGAAGAGATCCGACATCTTCTCGAGCAGACCGCGTATCATCGCCATGGGCGATGCAATCAACGCGACGAACACGAATCAAACTACGTTGCCGTATGGAGATCGATGGAGGAAACATAGGAAGCTCATGGTATGTGACTTTGGCTTGTCCTAGTTGCTGCAGAACGAGCTGATACCCGTATAGCATATGGCCGTTGGCTCTCAAGCCGTGCGCAAATACCGTACATTCCAGGCGCATGAGTCCGCGGTCTTAATCCGCGACTTCCTTCTTGAGCCGCACGACTTCGAGCTCTCCATCGAGCGCTACTCCGTATCAATCACCTCGATTGTCGGCTGGGGTCGACGCATAGATCGCAAGAACGACTACGTTGCTCAACAGGCTCTCAAATTGATGGAAGCCGTTAACTATATCGTTCCGGGTATCTATCTCATGGAAGCCATCCCGTTCCTGATGCATTTGCCCGCTTGGCTGTACGCGTTGCCAAGTCAGATGCGACTGGGTGCTGGTATACTGTCGCGCTACTTCTATTTGCTTACGCAGGAAGGCGCCGAAGCGAAAGAAGATAACTTTGGGAAGCATGTCATGGCGTCTCAACAAGCCAGTGGCATGACAGATCTTGAGGTTGCGAGCATAATGGGCAATTTGATCGGTGGTGGGGTGGACACGACTAGCAGCACTATGCTTTCTTGCATATTAGCCATGGCGCGCTTTCCGGATGTACAAGCAAAAGTCCATGCTGAGTTTGATGCAGTTGTTGGTCATGATCGCTCACCGAACTGGGATGACATTGATTCGAATGCGCTTCCATATTTGACTGCGGTGGTACGTCACAAGGACAACAAACGTCAGATTCACTGCTTACATGCCACAGGTCAAAGAAACCCTCCGATGGAGAACCGTGACTATCCTCGCAGGAATCCCCCACGCCAACACCGTCGATTTCGATTACAAAGGCTACCACTTCCCAGCCGGCACCAACTTCACAGGCAACATGTGGGCCATCCACAGACATCCGCGCGACTTTCCCGACCCGGACAGATTTATGCCCGAGAGATTTCTCGAAGGCGAAGGCAGCGCGAAACAGCCCTATCCGAACAAGTACGGCATGAACCCCTTCGGATGGGGACGTAGGCAGTGCAGCGGTCAGCCGCTTGCCGAGCAAGGACTGCTTTACTCGCTTGCGCGCATGATTTGGGCTTTTGAGATTTTGCCGGGTTCGGATGAGAATGTAAGTGTGTTCCTCAATACACCCACGTGGACCATTCATGTTTGCGCCGCTGACACATTGCGACAGCAACAGGAAGTCGACTTGGACATCTTCGCATACACCGACAGCGAAAACATGCGCCCAGAGCCTTTCGGTGTGCGATTCATTCCTCGCTCGGACGCGATCAAAAAGCTGCTCTTGGACGAGGCTGCAGAAGCGCGTGAGGCGCTGAGGCCCTACGACAGGGAGACTAGAGTGATGATGGAGGATGCTGTGAATAATCCGGCGAAGCTTTGATAGCGGCGGAGCAATGTCTAGCTGCCGGTTTGGAATAACATGAACACATTTGAACCACCTTCGCTGGGGCGTTTGAGATCGAATTACACCTGCATAAAAAGTACTTTTGTGCATGAAACGTCCAATTGTTAGCTTACACAACGATAAGCCACATCACACAAGCGTAATCACTCTCTCTTCTGCTGAATGATGCACCCTCATGACCTGACCAGACGCGCGGAAGCCTTCAAAGTTGATAAGACCGACTCTTCGGTATTGTGCCGTAGCGCTGTCGCACGATTCAAGAAATAAGGCTTCGACACCGTCTAAGTCCTCAGTATCCCAGCGCTGGTCGATACCAATAGTTTCCTCTTCTTCATTGCTATTCTGGCCCTGCTTGTCTCTGCATCGATAGGGTTTCCAATCTCCTTGGACTTTCTGGACTGCTTTCGGTGGATGCATTGGTGGAGAACGACTATGTGACCATAGCGTGGTTTCTCAAACTTCCATATGGGCCCGTCTTCAGACAACTCAACCCCTGGCCCTGGAAACCCTCTGACCGATGTGATAGGGAGTGTGTCTTCATTTCCCTCCAGAAATTCGAGCTGTGCGCGACCCAAGAATTTTGGATATCGCTTTTCCGCAACGACTGCATCTCTCAAGGGCTGTTGACCCATGATACTCGCCCGCACTGGTCTGCACTTGAGCCTCATAAGGGCACGATTCAACCGCCCGTCGGCTTGTGCCCCCACATCAAGTTCGACGATAGCAACCTCAAAAGTCCTGTCTGGATGGCCTCGATGATACTTGAATAACAGGCTCATGTTCGTCTTAGCATCCATACAGGCCCAACTCCACGTAGGCGCTCTCCACTCTGCAGGTGTACGACTCGAGGAGTAGGGGCGAACACTCTCGGTCCAACCAAGCTCTTCAATGATGCGACCAAGCCAGAGGCCCGCGATGAGCTGATCACCGGTGGCCTGGTTGATCCAACTGGCGATGCCCTGAATAGCAACAAGCTTATCAGCACCATACGTGAGGGCGGATCTTGAATACTGATCTCGAAATGTGAGCCAGGCATGATATGTATTGTCGTCTAGCTTCTTAGTCTGAGCAGACCCAGACGATGAGCAATGCGATGAATTGTCCGTGTCTTCGTACATTATTCTTCGAACACGACGTTTTAGTGCGGTAGCGTCCCAACGCCAAAAGGATCTTGCCCAAGGCGGGAGATGCTGAGGATATGTCTCACAAGCGAGGCACTCGTTGCATTCCCAGAACACTTGCGTACGAGTGAAGTGCATAAGCCGGGGTGAAAGCTGTCTCTCCTGACTAACCCAAGCTCTTTTGTTAAGTGGCGCACGTTCCACGCATCTCTCGGCTACGTTTTGGACATCGATGAGGTAGGCTCCAGTCAGGGCAAGCTTGGCGGAGCTGCTCCTGAATCCCCAAACTTCTGGATCGATATCGAATTCAATGCGCTTCGGCTGCAATATCTCTGGACACCTGTCATAGAAAAGGCCGCCACTACTATCATTCGCGGCGGTGGCTGCGATAGTGCAAGCTGAGTTTGCATAAATGTCTCCCATTCGACGAGATTCTGATGCCCAATCGCTTTTGTCGTCTTGGAAAATGCATCTACACAGGTAAGCTC